CTTGGCTCGTTCGACCGAATGCGGTAAAACCGAATTCTACACGGCCCCACGGCAGAGTGCGTATCCCTTCCGCCTGCCAAGGTGTTTTGTATTGTATGTACTTGCGGTTTGTATGCGCCGACCGTATTTTAATGCGGCAAGGTACGACGTGAGAAGAGCCAGGTGGGTCCTCGTCTCGATGCAGCCAGAGTCCTCTCAACTCGCTCATCCTGCTACTTGGCGATGCTCAAGCAGCAGCACTGCCTGCTGCTGCCGCAGCGTCGGGTTCGTGGCCGCCATTGCTCACACCACGCCGTGTCCGCAGCCGCATTAGCACACAGTCGAGGATCCCACGTCCCGGCGCAACCATGGCGGTCACGCCTCTCAGATCGCAGATAGCCGATGTGGCGGATGCGCCTTGATGGACGCACGTCGCCACGTGGTTGGCCATCGGCGCTGGCCGCGTCGCCGCTACGGCTCTGTCCCTGCGCCCGTTGCGTGAGGATCGTTTGATGTCTATTTGAGCCAATGACGTGGCAGCGTCCTGGCGCAGAGAGGTGATGGCCACCCGACCACCATCCACTTGAGTCCAGCACTGGCGTGACGCAGCCAACGCGTTCGAACGGCAAGACACAACAGAAGATGCGTTCTACGGCATTCGCGCTGCCAATCCGCCAGCTCCAGCACGCATCCTTGACGCTATATCGGGAAGTAGATTAAGCTTAGTCGATTAGTCGATTAGTTCATAAAGCGTACGACTGCTACAGCGTGTGCTTGGGCTTGGTCCAAAAATCATCGGCTGACACACTTGCAGCGGAAGCCCGGCTCTGGAATGACGACTCGGACGGCGCGGCCACGTCCCACGCGGGGCCGACGGCCGCTGAATCGTTGGAGACGACAGGCGAGATCGCAGCGTACCGCTTCCCGGCGTCGCTTGCGCCGCTGTCTTCAAGGAACGAGTAGAGCGGCTCTCGGCCAGCGTCAACGCTCAGGCGCTGTGGCTGCTTGCCGCGCATGATTTGCATGTACGGGTCGAGGTCTTCGTCCATGGACGTCTCATGCTGGCGCGACGACTGCCGGTGGCTGCCACGGTGGTGCGCATCGGTTTGACGCAGGAAGCTCCGGCGATTGGCTACGTCCGAAGGACCACAAGTGAGACGGCGGCATAAGCGAGTTTATCTACCCAGACGCAACGGGTGCTCGTCGCTGCGGCGGTCTTTCTGGAGGTTGCAGACGTTGCACACATCGACGCGCTTGAGGTCTGCAATTGGAATCTGCATGTCCATGGCCTGCGAACACTCGGCGCAGACAATCTAGTACAGGTTCACAATCAGATCTGAGATACCGACGTCGTCGTCGTACATCGCCGCAGAGCCGGCACGTGACTTTGCGGTGGACAAAGCTGAATTTGCGGCTGCACATGGCGCAGACCTTGACCTTCTCGAGGTTGCTCACGCGCGACGTCTCCATGTTGCTGACGATGCGCGCGACGAGCGTGAGCTTGGCGAAGAACGGACTGAGGTGGACAATGTTGCCGACCCGCGCGCGCAGCATCGACTCGACGTCTTCGCTCGGCACAAGGCCTTTAAAATGTACTTGGACCATGTGCAGCACTTGGACGACGCCCGGTGTTGCCGTCTCGAGCACGACGTAGCTACAGAAAGCGTCTTGAGCCTCCGAGATGAGAAGACGAGTAAATTACCCGGAGCGGTACAAGCTGCCACGCACGAGGCTATGCGACGTGTGGTACGCTGGAAACTCTGGGAGCTCAACCGAGTGCATGCTTCGTGCCCAGCCATTGCGGCCGTGGAAATGGACGTCGTTTTGATACTACCGGCGGTCTTGAGGTTCCATCTGGGGTAAGCAGAAAAAGGAAATCGTAGTAGTACCTGCAGCACGACAAAGTCTCGTCGTGGTACGTACGCCGACGTCGAGTCCCAAACAAACCAGCGCAGCGATATCTTGAGCCGGTCGACGTGCTTGAGCGTGCGCAGATTCTTGGAGACGACTGTACTCGCCTCGAGCTGCGCGTACGCTTCCTCGCCCATCGTCGACTGCTCGTCGCCGCTGAGGAGCTCTGCGACTTCGTCGAGTGTTGCTTGAACGGTCGTGGCACAGCACATGTACCTACGACCGTTGGTCGCATGAGAATCATGACAGACGAGCGCATGGCGGTATACGCACTGGACGTCCGAGGCAGTCGCCGACTCGCCGACAAAGAATGCGAGGCCTGGATCTGTCGCAAACGGCAGCGGGCGCCACGTGATTCCATACTTGTTGCGCTTGGCGAGCTTGGAGAGCGAGAGCAGCTCCGTGCATGTCTTGACGGCAGTCTCTTTCAGCGCTCGGACTTGCGACGGCGTCAACGCTGGACAGCTCGGCGACGGGAGGCGGCCGTGCTTCCCGAGTGCTAGGAGCGACGTCCGCGATGACCTCGACGATCCCATGCGATGCTAAACTGGCCATTGCACCTGGTTGCCCTCGACCAAGTTACTCACGCCAGTGCATCGTCCGTGATCTCAGTCGCGTGACCGGTTTTACGTCTTTTTGCGCTCTTGGATTGGTACAATAGAAAATGCCGATAGAAATCCAGGTCACGCAACTGAGATTGCCGATCAGACGTGCAATCCCCAAGAAGCGCCGTCACTACTTGGCGCCACCAAGTCAACGACGTCCATTGTCATGTACACACGACTCTTGACGATGCGATAGCAGGTGGCGTACACAGCATCGAATAGCCGTCGAGACGAGTTCAAAGTGGGACCGCTTGTCTTTGCCACCGTGTGCCTATGACACGTACCCACGGTTTGGGCTTTCCTGCGTCTGGTCCATCACTGCAGAAGACGGACTGCAGAATGCAACCGGTACCGCACATTGACGCTCACGGCGAGGACGCGTTGGCAGCTGCATCAACTATAGAAGACTGCTGTTATTGACACATATTCGCGATCATTGGGTCCGTGCGAAAAGGTGCTTTGACACGGTGCTATCCAGCGTGCGAGCGGCGACGGAGCCGACCGATCTCCGCCAACTATCTTCGCCGACTCTATATACTGTCTTGTAGTTGCTAATGTATGTACGATCGAGAGGCATGGATTCGAGGGTCGAGGTTGGTGCGTCGACACGCCGGGGTTGTTCGGTATCCTCCACTTGCAAGCCAACGAGCCCACGACACTTGACGGGTGGTGACACCGAACAGCGCGATCTTTGACCACTCTGTGCTGACGACTGCTTTGTGCCTAACACGGCGATGCCTGCATCACACTTGTACAACTACCGGTAGATCACGACTCGATATAGTCAACTCTAGAGTCGATTCGAGTGGGAGCTTTCCAGTCTTTGGTGGTAATCGAGCTATCTGCATGGTGCATGAAGACCTATGCACAAGGATTCTTGCCAGCCGCAGCTTTGAGTGTCGTGCTTGCGTGGACGGGCGACTATTGCGAGAGGCCCGACTGGCAAGGTTGTCTGTGACACCGTGACTCATTTCCTAGTTGTGTCTCAATTGATGCCAATAATCCTTTACTACTATCATTCAATCACTACCACTAGGTAGAGCGTTTCGACTTGGGACGGTCTCAAGAAATCAGATGGGTACCAGTACCCAATCGGAAGCGCCAGGTCATGCGATTGGAGGAAATTGCAACGACGGTTCCCGCTGGATCCACACAAGTAAAATGGCCGTCGCGAGACGCCACGCGGCCATCGCTACCGCGGGCCTCATAGCCTTTGCGCTAGCCTTCATGGTCTTCTCGTTCGAAGTCCGCTTCGTGGCGCGGTCGTCGCTGCCACCG